TAAACGGATCAATTAAAAAACAAAAAAATAAAAGTTTCGCCGCTTGGCGCTAGCTAGGGTTCTAGACGTTTTAATGTCTCAAATCTCAACCCTAAAGGATAATTATATACTTTACATTAATTAATAAATATAAAAAACGGATTAAATAAAAAAAAAAAAAAAAAGAACTGTGATCTCTACGCTGAGTTAGTTGCACCTGTGCAGTATATGGACATTGGGGATGCTCGTAGTTGCTATAGATAGGGTAGTTGGTATGGTAAGAGGAAGACGTAGCAAGATCTCAGATCAGATCAATCCATGTCCGCCCAACCGACTATCAACCCAACCAGATCTCCATTCACGCATAATAAAACCGCATCCAGGTATATATATATCGTTTTCACGTTCAAAATCTACTAAAAAACTATTACTATATTATACCTATATATATGTATGTCATTATTGATTAAAAATTCTCATGTGGGATATATAGATCTCACTTATATAATACTTTTTAATTTAACAGGCATTATATTTTTTAATGAAAATATTATATTTGTAATAATATTTAATTTCTTACATATATGAATTTCTTATCACACAATGCTCTTAGGTTTATCATCATTTTTTAAGAGTGTTGGAAACCCTAAGATTTTTTATCTAAACACTAAAAGTGGTTGAATTGGCAATTAAAAATGTTTAATTTGATCCACAGGTCAAAGTGAGGCATTGCAAGTTTTGAGCACTGTTTTGTGATCGAATATCTTGGCTTGATCCACATGCTTCCCCTTCTTATTGCAACTTCCGTCTTCATATTCCACTTTAGCTTCCACTTTTTACCCACCCAACATCTAATTCCCCACCATTTTTCTTCTCTTCTCTTGTTGTTGTCTCCATCTCCACTATTTTCAATTTATAGTATTGATCTACATATTTTTCACGGTTACATTTATCACCTATTTTCACCATTATTATTATTATTTTTTAGTTAGTATGCATATGTGGTTGGGATCGAATTTAATGTGTTTTTCTTTTTCAATATAACAAAACTTTACCCTAATTCAAAATGTTAAACACAACAACCTTAAAAGGAAAAAAAAATTAAGATAAAATGTTATAATAATTGCGAATTTGTCCAATTCTTCTTTATTATTTTACTTTTTATAGCAGTAACATAATTTTTGTTCTTTTATTGCTTTAAATGGTAAACATTAAAAAGGAAATTGACAAATTAAAATTATTGTAATATTTATCTTTTTTTTTTTGTGGTACTTGATGATATGGATTAGGATAATTAAAATGTGAACTTTTTGAAATATTTGGACGAAATAAAAGAAAGACATTATTATTTTTTTTTCCTAATAGAAAAAAGACATTATGTTTAGTTGTTTACGCTAGGGATTGTAATATATATATATGCTTGTCAATTTATAATGTCATTCACATATTTGCCTTTTATAATTTATCCCACGTTTCCTACTGCTATTATTTTATTAATTATTAATTACTTTAATCCTTCTTCCATGGTAATAAGTGAACCACTAATCCTTAATGGTAAGGAAAACGTTAATTACATTAATTTTTTTATCATTACAATTCAACCACTTCATGATGTGGTAAAATTCTAGATATTAATTTTTTTTTTGGTTTTTTTATTTTTAATTTTAACTTCATCACTAATATCTTGTGAAATTAGGGGTAACATAATATAATATATTTTTATTTTTTAAGAAAAAAAGGTAAAGTAATAATGTCTTCCTTTTTATATTTAAGGCACAAATATTAATTATTCTAATTCAAATTGTTACATGTAAAAAAGGAAAAAAAATCTAAAATAAAAATTATAATAATTATATTTTTGTTCAATTATATTAAAATGTTTACCATTTAATTTATAGCAATAAAAGATTTAGAATTATTGTAATACTAGTTTTTTTACGCGCATTGCGCGATTGAGATAATGTCCAATGTTTTTTTTTTTTTTAAATAAGTACTATAAAATATATTAATGCAAGATTATATTGGAATTGTTCATGCATATATAATTGAATGTTGAATTTGCGTATTTAAATAGGAAATTCTAAGTTTATAAATGCAAGATAATATAGTCAAGATTGATTATAATTGTCAATAAAATAATTGTATGGGTATGGTTGAAACAAAATACGGGAAATAAGGGAGAGCAAATAAAAATTAGGGCATAAAATATTAAATATATACTAATATTGAAGAGCTAACTGCTGATTGCCAAACAAGGACATTGCGAGATAGTTTCCCACTTCAATTTGTTGTGTGATTTGAATACTCTTTTTGTCAATAAATATCCCAAGTAGTTAATATGATTGGCTTAGTTATACTTTTTATTTTTATTTTTTTTTATAACAATTATTATTATTATTGTTATTGTTATTATTATTATTATTATTATTATTATTATTATTATTATTATTATTATTATTATTATTATTATTATTATTATTATTATTATGAAATATATGTATACCCTTAGGTCATTTTACATGTTAATCTAAACGGCTAATTTTTTTAAATATCTTTTTACTAACTGTTTATATAATTCGCTGGTCAAATCCGCTAACGCTAATCGCTAATTGCTTATTATTAAACAAGGACATTGCGATGTAGTTCTCACTTCAATTTGTTGTGTGATTTGAATACTCTCTTTGTCAACAAATCCCTCAAGTAGTTAATATGACTGGTTTTTTTAATTATGTTTTTTTTTTAATTTTTTCATGGTATTAATAAAATACTTGGTAAATAAATATATAGCATTATTTTGTATTATAACTTTGATATTTAATTAAAAAATAGTGCACAAAAAAAAGATAATAGACAATGTAGTGAATATAATTAATTGATTAATTTGAATGTAAAGAAGTTTTACATTGGAGAAAAATAAAGACAATATAACTAATGAAATTATTTCTCTTATTTAATTTATTGATAATGAATAATTTTTTTTGAATAAAAAAATTGTACACACATAATTCTAAATTAAAGAAATGCATATGTATTATTTTTTGTTGTAGCTACTAAATTATTAATTAGTTTAATAAAAGTAAAATAGAGTACTAATTATGCCAACTTTAATTTAATTGGGATGGGGTTCGAACTTGAGACATTTTTTATTAAAATCAATGAGTAAGTTAACGGTGAACTAATAGAAACTAACGGAAAAGATAATATTTAACGGAAAAGTTAACGGATAATCATATTCATTAAGGATAAATTAGGAAATCTCAAAGAAAAATTAAAATCTGATCAATCTGAGCCATTCATTTGATTAAAAAATTTGACCGCCATTTTTTCAACCCATTATAGACCTAACTCTCTTGGGCTCTTATTAGTATAGTAGATTTTGTTCTGAATTTTTTTTCCTATTAAGGTTATGTGTGTCATTTTGGAAATGGGTAATTTTTTTTTCCAATTAATATATTTTTATAAAAATGAAATACATTAATTATATTAATAATTAAGGATTAATCCTTAGATTTCAACATACATAAGAACTTCAAAAGGAAAAATGAATAATAATTAATAATAATAATAATAATAATAAATAATAATAAATGAAATAATAACAATGGTGGAAATTGAGGATGAAGCATGGGTGAGATATGTAGATGAGCACTATAAATTGGAGTGTGATGGAATAATCACGGAACCGGATCCGAGCAGGACAACACGGACCGGGTCGGACCCCGCGTTCACCCGCGCAGCATGGCGAACCACCCCGGGGTCGGCGTGGCCGGCCTCGGCCCCTTGGCCGAGCTCCGTGCTCGGCCAAGGGCCGGGTCCTCGCGTGGAGCGAGACCCGCGGCGCGGCCCGCGGCTCCTCCCGCGGGCCTAGGGCCCGTAGCGCCCGGGGGTATATAAACACCCCCCCCCCCTCAGTGTCCTAACCAGACATCTTCTACCTTCTTACAGTACTTGTAACGTTATTACACGTCCCGAACCTCTGTAATAGCATTTTATGCTCAATTAATATAATATTTACCGCTTTATTATCCATTTCTTATATTCAAACATATACACGGGTTGTATAATCCGGACCCCCGGGTTCATATAATCCATCAGAGTGAGTGGTGGATGAAATAGCAACAAGTAGGAAAAGAAAAGAAGTATTGAGGGGAAAAGAAAGGCCAACGTTAATGATGAGATGTTGGGTGGGAAAAGAAAGGTGGATGAGGTAGAAACTAAGCTGGTGAATGAAGACGGCATGGCTTGCGAACGTAGTCCTCGCACCTAAACCACCTACATGGAGGATGTGCGTGGACTACACGGACCTCAACAAGGCATGCCCCATGGACCCCTTCCCGCTGCCCAACATAGATCAGCTGGTGGACGAGACGGTGGGATGCGCACTCATGAGCTTCCTAGACGCCTTCCGGAGGTACCACAAAATTTTCATGCACGAGGACGATGAGGAGAAGACGGCGTTCACCAACCCCGAAGGGGTCTTTTGCTACCGGGTCATGGCATTCGGGCTCAAGAACTCGGGAGCCACGTACACAAGGATGGTTGCCAAGGTGTTCAAGAAAGTCCTCGGCCGGAACTTGCAAGCTTACGTCGATGAGATGATTGTGAAGAGCACGGAGGCCGACCTCCACACGGCCGATTTGGCCGAGGTATTTTCCATTATGAGGCAATTTGATTTAAGTTTGAACCCCAAAAAATGCACTTTCGAGGTACACGAAGGGAAGTTCTTGGGGTCCATGGTCTCAAAGAGGGGTATTGAGCCCAACCCCAAGAAAGTCAATGCCATCCTGGAGATGGAACCCACGAGGTCCCTCCGCGAGGTCCAGCGCCTCAATGGTCGGCTGGCGGCCCTCGGCCGATTCCTCTCAAGGTTGGCCGAGAGGTCCCTACCATTTTTCGGGGTCCTCAAGAAGAACCACGGGTTCGAATGGTAAAACGAGTGCTAGAGAGCCTTCGAAGACCTCAAGACGTACCTCATATCACTAGCCCCCCTAGCCAAACCAGAGAAAGGGGAGGCTTTGTATATGTACTTGGGCATCTCGCAAGCCGCGATCAGTTCCGTACTGGTCCGAGATGACGCGGGGACACAACGCCCGGTGTACTACGTGAGCAGAGCCCTCCGAGGTGCCGAGCTCAGGTACTCACCCACGGAAAAAGCAATCTTCGTCATGGACACCACGTCCAAGAAGCTCGGCCATTACTTCCAAGCACACCCCGTGCGGGTCCTCACCAACCAACCCCTCGAGGCGGTACTAAGGGCCTCGGGGTCGGGAAGCGGGTTGATCAAGTGGTCCACGCGGCTGAGCCAATACAACGTCCAGTTCAAGCCCCGACCCGCGATCAAGGGGCAGGCACTCACCGCCCGAGAGGCCACCGAGCTAGCCCGGAGCGATGAAGATGATTGGTGGACCTTGTCCACGGACGGTTCGTCCGGCCCTAAGGGGTGTGGCGGAGGGGTGGTCCTCGTAACCCCGGAAGGGTTCCGGACCTACTACGCCCTTTGTTTCCACTTCAAGCTGTCCAACAACGAGGCCGATAATGAGGCGCTACTGGGCGGCCTCAGGCTCGCGCTGGGTCTGAGGGCCTCCAAAGTAAGGGTGCGTTGCGACTCCCGGCTGCTGGTTGGACAGGTAAACGGCGAGTTCGAGGCCAACGAAGAGAGGATGAGGAGATACCGTGACGTGGTACTCCAGCTCCTAGGTCAATTGACCCTCTACGAAATTTTGCAGGTACACCGAAGTCAAAACGGGGACGCGGACCCCGGAGCATGTCTCTAAAATAGCGCGGATTGAAGACCTCCAGAGGTCTAGCCTGGAAGCCTACCCAGTCCTCCCCGTACAAGCTCGCCCCCCTGTTGGTTGGACCACCTGGTTGAGTACAAAAGAACGGGCACCCTACCAGCAGACGAGGCAGACGCCAAGGCAGTCAAGTGGAGGTCACCAACATACGTTCTCCTTGGTGACACCCTTTACAAAAGGTCCTACAACGGCTCCGTCCTCCGATGTTTATACCCAGAAGAAGCCAAGTTCGTCAAGGAGAAGATACACGAGGGCACCTGCGCAGCACACCAAGGAGCATTCGCCACGGCGAGGAGGGCCCTATTGCAAGGGTACTTTTGGCCAAAGATGGCCAAGGAGTGCGCGGAGTACGCCAGGGGGTGTCCGACCTGCCAGCACTTCCACGCAGAGCCAGGTCGACTAGCAACCAGCTACACGCCCATCAGCACGGTGATCCCGTTCTCACGATGGGGGATCGACATCGTCGGGGCTCTACCCATGGGGTCCGCAAAGAGGAAGTACATAATGGTCGCCATAGACTATTTTACTAAGTGGGTCGAGGTGGAGCCCCTCGCCACCATAACCAGCACCCGGTGCACAAAGTTCATACGCAGGAACATTCTGTACCGCTTCGGGGTCCCCATGCAAATCATCTCTGACAAAAGGCGTCAATTTGAGAGCAAAGAATTTAAGGCGTTCTGCGACCAATGGTACATAAAACACACCCGCGTGACGGTGGCGTACCCACAGGCAAACGGACAGGTGGAGAACGCCAACAGAATAATAGTGGACGGCATAAAAAAGAACCTGGGCGCAGCCGGAGGAACGTGGGTGGAGGAGCTGGACACCGTCCTATGGGTGTACCGCACCACCCCAAGAAGGGCCACCAGGGAGACACCGTTCGCGTTAGTAAACGGTTTCGAAGCACGAGCACCCACCGAAGCCGTAATACCATCCTATCGGGTCTCGATGTACGACCCCGACCTCAATGAGGGGACACCACGCCGGTGAACTCCACCTCATCGATGACAGAAGGGAGGACGCCATGGTCCGCGCGGAGAATTACCAGCGTCAAACATAGGCATACCATGACAACAGAGTCCGACCCCGCTACTTCCAGGTCGGCGATTAAGTCCTTCGGAGGAGGGAGGTAAGCCGACCCCAGGACGGAGGCAAATTTTCTAAGAAATGGGAAGGATCATATATGGTTGATACCATAGTACGACCAGGTACCTACAAGTTAAGGACCACATCGGGCAAGATGGTGGACAGGGTGTGGAACTCGGAGCACTTGCTGAAGTTTTACCAGTAGAAACCCATTTATACGGCTTGCCCCATCCCCAATAACAGGCCGACTTCCCACAATAATGTTTGTTGTTTGCTTTCTCTCGTAATGAAATAATGATTTTGTTGAACATTTATCCTACTTCGAGTTTGGGGCGAACTCAGGCACGTCTAGGCTCGGGTACTCGGGCGCCACAAGGCCGGCCTACGTGAGGTTCGCCGACACGGGGTCGGCCGACGCTGAGGTCGGCCAACACGAGGTCGGCTGGGGTCGGCCAACACTTGGACAGGACGCACGCCTTAGGGGTGGTACGAGGTCCGACCTCGCTTACCGCCGAACGGAAGGATTCGGGGTGCGAGTCAAGAGACTCCATCCCAGGAATCGCTAAGACGTCCTAGGGGCGGTACGAGGTCTGGCCTCGCCTATCGCCAGACGGACGTAACACAATCCCAACACCCTAGGGGTGGTACGAGGTCCGACCTTGCCTACCGCCGAACGGAAGGATTTGGGGTGTGAGTCAAAAGACTCCATCCCAGGAATCGCTAAGACGTCCTAGGGGCGGTACGAGGTCTGGCCTCGCCTATCGCCGGACGGGCGTAACGCAATCCCAACACCCTAGGGGTGGTACGAGGTCCGGCCTCGCCTACCACCGAACAGAAGGATTCGGGGTGCGAGTCAGGCGACTTCACCGCAGGAATCGCTAAGGCGTCCTAGGGGCAGTATAAGGTCCGGCCTCATTCATCGCCGTACGGGCGCAACGTAACCTTAACACCCTAGAGGTGATACGAGGTCCGGCCTTGCCTACCACCGGACGGGTAATATAGCTATGAGCGGTAACCAGCTAAGCTCACGAGATCTACCAACCGACCTCGTGTGGCCGCGAGGGGTCGGCCGTCCGACCTCGTGATGTCGGCTAGCCCCGCGCTGGCGGGCCGGTTAGTCTCGCGTTGGCGGGACAGCTAAGTCTCACGTAGGCAGGCTGGCTGGACCCGCGACGGCAAAGGCGTTGAGGCCCGCGGGAATACCTTTGGGCACAAGGTAAGCCACGCCGAGGAGCAATCAAGGAAAACACGCAAGTAACAAGCAAAACGGACAGAAGTATAAGACGAAATAAACAAGCAATGTCATAACAAACGATGTCATGGCGAAGCCAACAGTCTAATACAAACAAAAGTGAACATCCGGGCGGCAACCCGCGCAACAAGATAACACATGTCTAAATAAAGGAGATAGTCTGTGCAAACAACTAAGTAAAGAAAGATAAGGGGCCGCCAACTCTAAAGGACATCAAGGCCGCGCAATCTCGCGGACACCATCATCGCCCCCAAGTCAGCCGCCTGAGTCTCCTCCGGGGGGGCGTCAACGCCTGCAAAGCGAAGGAGGTCAGCCGCGAAGTCCGCACTCGACGAGCGGTCGGCCGCCGTGTCCATCGGGGGGGGGGGGGGGGGGGGCTCCCTCTCCCACCACCACATCCATGGGATCACCTGGTTCCTCCTCCGCGAACTCCTCGGGCAGGCCCCACGCACTGGGTCGAAGGATGCATCTCTCGCGTGAAGGACGGAACAGATCTTGCTCTGCATGGAACCCTCCCCCGCCTCATACATCGCCAACCCCTGCAAAGTCACACACTCACTCCCCTCGGGGAAACTCATGAGATCATCCAGGGTCTTCTGCGGGTTCTGAAAAAGGTAGGCCTTCGCGTTCCTGGCAAAGGCCTCAGAGTCCTTGTAGCTCGAGACAGCCACCCTCGCAGCCTCCTGGTGCGCCTTCAGGGCCTCCTGATGCGCCGCAAGCTCTCGCGATCGGCTGGAGATCAACTCAGCATGCTGACCCTCCAGCGCCACAAGCTGCTCGTTCACGGCCTGGCGAGCTCGTGTCTCGGCCTCCAGCTGACGGCGGGTACTCCCTAGCACCTCCTCCATGCTAACGGCACGGGCAACCGCCTACACAAGGGCAAATGTGAGCGGAAGACAAAATGGCAAGGAGCAAGGAAGCACAACATACAATCATAAGAAAGTGAAGACAAAATGGCAAGGAACAAGGAAGCACAACATGTAATCATAAGAAAGTGGCGCGTACCTCTAGCAAAGGACGGAAGATGGCGTGATCCTCATGCATCGCCGCGTCACGGGGCAGACGAAGGCTGCGCAGAAAGGCCTCCGGAGGGATATCACCACAAAGTATCGAGGCTGTAGGGGGGAGATGGACGGACAACTCAGTCAAGGCACCCTGAGGCGGCGCCGTGGTCATCAGGACTCGAGCAGGGGGGTCGGCCGGCCGACCGTCCGATAGGTCTTCCACATCGATGGTGGACCTCGTCTCACATCGACGTGACACTCGGGTACCTAGGGGGGCCCCGACGCCCGAGGAAGCAAGGCTAGTCTCGCCGGTCTTGCGGCACTTGAGGTCCTCACCACCACGGCTCCGCAGACTCTCGACAAGGCTCGTGAGGGCAGAACGACGGGGAGCCATACCTACATCAAGACAAGTTGGTAAGCACTTCACATAGAGAACACATAAACGAAAATATACGTCAGCTGGGCGACAAACCAGAACTGGCGGGGGGAGGCATCAAGTGTCCGGCCTGCAACTCGACGACATCATCATCCTCTGAACCCTCGCTCGAAGACTCCTCCTCAGTCTCCCCCACGGACTCTGGAGTGGGGGGGGGGGGGGAGCACCTCGAGGAGGCGGAGGAGGGAGGTCGCGGGAAAATCCTGCCGCGACCAAAGACTCGTGATCAACGAGGGCCTGGGAGTCTAACAAAGCGGCTGTCTCACCCAAAAATGCCCGGGCCAGGACGTCAAGCTCTAGGGTGGGCTTCGGACAACGGCACTTACAGAAGTACCCCCCCCCCCCCCCCAAGGAACCTCAAAAGGGAGCACCGCACCCGTAGAAACAAACACGAACCGGGGCTTCCAAACCTTGTTGAAGACCCGAACGTGTCCCATGATCTTCATCCCTGGCCGAGCCGAAAACGCCATGTAGCCTTACTCTCTTTGGACGAGGAGTTGGTCACGTGAAAGAAGGAGTGGAAAAGGTCTAGGTTGGGGTGGATACCCACCTCGACACATCGAACAATGAAGGCCGCTACCGCCCGATGAGAATTGGGGACTAACTGACCCACAACCACACGGTGGAAGTTTAGGACCTCAATGGTAAACGGGTGAAGCGGGAAGGCCAAACCCATGAGAAGAGATGTGATATGGACACCAAAGAAGTTGGGTTCGGGAGGCTCCAGTATACTCGTTCCGGGAGGCGGAACGTGGACCACATCGGTCGGGCCAAGAAAAACCCGAATCCTTGGGGGATGGCGGAGTCGAGCACGGTATACCGTCTCAATGGGAAGGGATCCGGAAGAAGCATAGGAGTCAACATGAAAGGGGGGTGCATAGCTAATGGATCTATATAGGGGTACTCAAGGTAATAATTCTCAACGTAAAGGGATAGTGGATCTAAGTCAACGGACTCGTCATCACTAGGTGGGAGGTCCGCATAATCAATAGAATCCAAGACAGTCCAATAATCGAAAAACAATGGTAAATCTATGGGGTGCGCGTCCTCGGCAAGAGGCACTATACTCATAAAAAGCTAGCTAAGGAACTCTAAAGAGGGTGTGCAACGAAACTCACCCGACTCAAGCAAGGAGGATATGAGCAAAGGAGACATGGTAGGAGGACACGGCGGGGTCGGCCGGTAGCAGAGTCGGGTCGGCCGGTAGCGTGAGGTCGGCCTGGGCCGGGGTTAGGGTCGGCGGGCAGCGGCGGTCGGCGGCGGCTGCGCACGGCGGTCAGCGGCGATTCGGACGACCAGAAAAATTGGGGGGAGAGGGGAGGGAGATTTTTCAGAATTTGGGAGCTTGGTTGTGTGTGTGGGGAGTGAAGAGGGGGCTACTTTATATAGAGGAAAGGGGGGAAAAGAGGGGACATTTTTTGGGAAAAGGGGAGAAATTTTGGGGAGAGGAAAAGGTGTGGTTTTGGGAATGTGATGAGGGGTTTGGGAAGATGGGGGTGGTATTTAAAGGGGAAGTTGAAGGGATATGGTAGGATAAGGATTCTTAAGCTGATAAAGATGAACACAAGTTTAAATTCCAGTTCGGTTAGGAGTCCTATCGCGATGAGAATTCTTCAGGAGGCTGGGTTGGATTTTTTGGAACGCGATTTGGGGTCCCGTATTATTAAATTTTTTTTACTCTCTCGCGCTGACGACTTCTCGCAGCCCCGAGAGTGGGGGACTGATGATGGAATAATCACGGAACCAGATCGGAGCAGGACAACACGGACCGGGTCGGACCTCGCGTTCACCCGCGTAGCATGGCGAACCACCCCGGGGTCGGCCCAACGTGGGGTTGGCGTGGCTAGCCTCACCGAGCTCAGCCGAGCCCTATAGGCTCGGCCATGTGGGCTCGGCCGAGCTCCGTGCTCGGCCAAGGACTGGGTCCTCGCGTGGAGCGAGTCTCGCGGCTCCTCCCGCGGGCCCAGGGCCCGTAGCGCCCGGGGGTATATAAACACCCCCCCGGTGTCCTAACCAGACATCTTCTACCTTCTTACAGTACTTGTAACGTTATTACACGTTCCGAACCTCTGTAATAGAATTTTATGCTTAATTAATATAATATTTACCGCTTTATTATCCATTTCTTATATTCAAACATATACACGGGTTGTATAATCCAGACCCCCGGGTTCATATAATCCATCAGAGTGAGTGGTGGATGAAATAGCAA